GCTAATCAAAGTGATCAGGAATCCAGCCCTCTTTTCCCCCTTCTTTCCCCTTCCCTTTCGACGCCTGCCCCGCAAGCTAACATGACTGTATATTCAGACTTCGGATATTATGCGTAACGCAAATAACAAAGGCAAATTAACTGAATGTGTATTCATTTTATATTCAGCAGGCGAGATGTACGTGCCTCAGTGGGACAGTTGGAATATTACAATTTCCCACAAAAAGTAGTTTCTTACTTCGTTCTCTTCATCTCCCGCATTGTCATAACAGCTGGCTACTCAGCAATGCAAGTATATAACCAATGGAAGATAAACAAAGAAAACAAAGAGTGTATGCAAAGACCTCAGTATCGCCTGCTTAGAATACCTAGTGTTTCATACGCGCCATTAAAATTCGTATAGTTAGTTCCTTTGCTGTGCAAAGTCAGGGGCTTATAATATTCACGCAGGGATATCTAAAACATGATGCAAACAGCAAACAAACCAATCCAGCTGCTTGGAGATTTAATCTTATTTTCTGAATCATGTTTCCTGGTTGCCCCAAAGCCGAAAGTTGGAGTTCGCCAACCACTTTATCTGAATGAAGTTCAGCACCGATAATCAGTTCAAAAGGTAATTACTGTACTTGAATTTAAATTGAACATATCGAAATATGACAAAACATGAAACAATATTGGACGTACTGCATTTTTTGTTGACACAAAAATTCACCTTGGTATGGTTGTAATCATTTCAAGAGTCTAGTGATAAGTTTTAACCATCCGTAAACTGACATGCTTTAAGTTTTCCCGTTTTTTTTATCTAGTAATAGACATGCCGGCTAGGAACATTATTTTCTGCCAAATGCGCTGGCTGTTTATCTTCCGAAATGGACTTAACGTATTGTCAGGCTATTTGATATTCTTTTTCGTCGTTGATTTCACTCTTCGCATGGAGTTTATATACACGGCCTTTATTTCGGCGATCTGTAACATAAAAATGATCGCAACTCAGTGGACACAGAAATCCCCAAATAAAGTATTTTCTTCGAAAAAACACAACAAAACACAACAAAACAAAACAAAAAAAACAAAGGAAAAGCAAACGAATTAGTCCGCCATGAAACTGTTACTAAGATTTCATCTGAGGGGAGTATTGAGCTAAGGATCTGAATTCCAGTTAACATGACATTCATTCATCTTGAAAAACTCAGTGTTGTCATGCAGGCCATGTATCGTGAAGATTATCTCTTCCTGCCACCCACCTGAGATTATGACGAACTTTCAGATCGACTCGATTTTCGTTTTTTTAAAGCACCACTAATTTCTAGGTCTTAAAAGATTGAAGGTAACTCAGTGATACATAGGTATTAAGTTCAGAAATATATTAAAAGAGATGGTGCCCAAGGTGATTTGCCGTTCTGTGAAACATGTTACTCTGAAGTACATTCAGTGTTTGGACTGGATCATTATTAACAGGATGAGCTAGATTTTCAAGGGTCTTGAAATCTTTTTGTCGAAATCAATAGTGAAGGCTTGACAATAATGAAATTAAAAGAGACTTAATTAGTAGTTGAAAAGTTTGATTGAGATTCTATCGAGTCATCAACTGATTGAACTGAGCGGAATGACATAGCTATTAAACCAAAAGCCTTGTGTTGTCCCAGTTAAAAAAGACTGAAGAACTGCAGCAATTATTGGTGGTATCTGTTTCAGTTAGAAAATTGCAATGACGTCCGATTATTGGGAGAGCTTTGACCGCAGAAATTGAAAAAACGACTTCAACAAAGCTGGTAAGGCCCGGTTCAGACGCCGTACTTTTCATGAGCCGAACCTAATACATTGAATAATACCACTAAATTTCTCGAATTGGGTCTTTGCGATTTTGGTGAAACGCTGTTCAGCGCAAGGCACTAATGCGCACTATGTGTAGCCGAGAGATTTTCACGAAAAAATGCCGGCAACAGCAGATTTTCGACTCAGACCTCAAAGGGGCGTGGCACTATAACCACGTGACGTTTACTCCGATCGCCCAAAATTTTATGTTATATTGTAGATTGATCTATATGTTATCCATTCTATGTGTTAGACTTACGATAAAAGTAAAGGTGGGGATACCAGAGAGCTTCAAAGTAGGATAGTACCCCCCAAAAAAACTGGGTCGTGTCACCTTAATGCATAAATTCTTATAACGTATTTCGTAAGCAGTTTGACCGAAATGAGCATTTTTCTCCTTCTGGATTACCATCTTATCACTCTTTAATACTTAAACATTGATTAATTTGTTTATTCATTTATTTTATACCAAAGGATTCAACGCGAGAAACAAAGTCGTTGCTGAAGTACGATGTCAGTTTACATCAGTTTTGCTGTTCTGTTTTCAGTGATGATGATAGCAGATCTCGTGGGTAACACGCTTGTTGTTCTTGTTGTCGTAAAGAACAATTCCATGCAGACGCCTGTAAATAATTTGCTTGTCAATCTTGCTGCAGCAGACATGATCGTAGGGATATTTTTTGGCATTCAGTACATCATCACACCGTTGGTTAATCATCCTGAGGGTCTTACGGGGGATATACTCTGCAAGCTCGTCACTGGTGGCGTTCTAGGGTGGGTTGGGGCAGTATCATCCGTCTTTTCCCTGGTTGCCATAGCAATAGAGCGCTACTATGCTGTCATCTTTCCTTTCAGTCGAAAACGAAAGTTGACAAGAAAAAAAGTTGTACAATTCGCCGGCTTGAGTTGGATTCTTGCTCTTTTGTGGGCTGGCATCGGCTTTTTCATCACGGTTTTCGACAAAGAAGTAAACAACTGCGTACACAGCTGGCCCAACAGGATTTATGCCAGTATTTACACTGTTGGGTGGTCTGTGGTGGCTGGGTTTTTACCACTTGGTATTATGAGCTTACTATATTCCCGTGTAGTACACCGACTATGGTTTACGAACCAATTACGCCAGCGGCAGGCTAACCAGATGGCATTAATACGCTACAGAAGACGAGTCACCAAACTTGTTATTGCTGTGACAATCGTCTATGCCCTTTGCTGGATTCCGGAACTCACAATCTACTTTCTGGGTTTCACTGGCACTATTGAGTTGACACCAGTTCACTTCAGTATAACTTCAGCTTTGGTATTTTTGAATTCAACTATTAATCCAATCATATATAGTCTGCACAGCTCAGCATTTAGAACACAATCACGGAACTTGATTTGTTGCCGCAATGGTCGAAAATTCAACCGCAGAGTACAACCAGTACAAAGAACTGATGGAAATAACCAGGGGAACATCAAAAAAGATATTATAGGGAAAATAGGTAGCGGAAGCGAAAACATGGCCATGAAATAAATTTAATTTATTTGTAAACTTAATTCGCGATTATTCAGTCTCGCCCAGTTTGTCAGGCGAGTTAAACTCTCACGAATTACTTTACTCAGATTCAAAAAAGGAATTTGGCGTGTGTCCATGCGCTTTCCTCCATAAAACGACACATTCGGAAAATTTAGGTTCTAGTGGGATGCACTGATGTGTGAAAGTGTTTTTTTTTTTTTTTCATAAAACCCGTTTTTTTACGCCCTTGTTGTCGTGGTCATGGTATTGGGAAGCTTTAAAGTAACCACGACTACAGTGGAAAAGTGAAGTCACACTGAGTCAAAATTCATCGCTCTTAAATATTCCGCTCTAATTTCACGTTCCGACGAGGACGTAAACACAAGACAATATTTTTAAATTCTCCTTTAGATACATTCCTTTAGAATTCCATTCAACTTCAGAAAAATCATTTACCAACATTTGACAAATTGAACAACATGAAATAAGAGCGATGAAATCTTCGAACAGAGTGAATTCCGCCCTCTCCATGAGACATTAATTCGCCGTCGTCGTATTTGCTTAAGCTTCCGACTCCCTCTGCTCAGGCATTGCTCCATAGCTTAGCTTATATCAGAAGGTTAGTTCATTAAAATGTATGAATGGTTTACTCACAGTTTTGTCAAATTCGTGTTTTAAAATCTTACGGTAATATGTAGACTAAAAATAACTCCACGATGTCCATATAGACCATGTACTACCAAAAGGCTATTTCAATAGTTAAAAAATGCTTTAATCCACCACAAAACCATTGTAGCTTTATCTGTGCTGGTACTACATTAAATTAACTCGTTACCAAGGCTCTTGCCTTCCCACTCCATAAGGAACGGGAAGAAGGGTAAGGTATATGGATCAATACCCATAGTCTGTTCTAGGCTCTCTCTCAGATAGTGGGGATGACGCTTAGGTAAAAGGCACGCGAAAATATGAGCGAGGAATCTGGGGAAAGGGGGTTATCTTGGAGCCTGGAACAGGCTATAATCTATACACAACAAATAAATATACGAGGTGGAAAAACAAGAAGTCCTCTAGTCTACGAGGTTAAACCAACCAAAACCAACCCCAATAAACTTACAAAAAGAGAGAAAACAACTTTCTGGCAAAACCTTTATCCCAAATTGAGAAAACAAATTGAGGTACAAGTGTTGAAGTGTGAGAAAAAAATTTTCTACACATTAAACTTAACAAAAGCAAACGCTCGGTAATATCAGAGAACAAAGTAACAATTTGTCAAATTCAAAGAATAAAAGCCAACCAGTAATTAAGAGGTAGGAGATTTAACTGACTCCAGACCTCAAAAGAGGTTTACAAAACAAATATAGCACAAGAAACTCATAAGAAATTGTTCAATCGGTTATGAAATTCTGGCTCAACAAGATTTGGTAATTATATTCCATCTACATGTCTTTTAAGCTTTCGCTAAAAAATCTTATCAAAAAGAAAATACATCTTAGCAGTTCCGGGTTGGGCTGTTTATTTGCATCTTTGTCTTTTGGGTCCCGTTCTTGAAATTTTCGTGGCTGAAGTAAGCAAACAATCAATTCCTTTATATCCTCAAATGACAGGTCCGGCCATAATTTCTTACCGAACTGCGACTTGGTCAGTCGAATTGCATCCTCTATTTCGCCCCCATCAACGCGCCAAGTGAAAATACACTGAGTTTGATCATAGAATTGCATGACTTCTGCTACTGTTTTACAGGCGCGAAGCTCATGTATCAAGCCAGGAGTGAAGTCTTGGACACATTTGGAAGCAGGACACTGATCTTCATCTACAAGTTTTGTCTTGGCGTTAGAAATGAATGCTCTTTTCCACAACCCCTTGCAGTTGTCGAACTGAGATTGCACAGAATTCTCTCTAGAATTTGGAATTATAGCGTCTAAGTCACACAATATGACGTGTGGAATTCCCAGATCATGGCAAAAGGCAGTTGCTTTGTGAACATTTTTCTTTCCGCTGATCGACAATACTATACAGCTGCGAACAGCTGTTTGAATGCTAGACAGCACATCTTTGGAGTAAAACACTCTTTTGTATGCTGGGTCTTGTAAGAGGTTGTCTAATGATGGTGATAGATCTGCAGTCCGGCCCCTTGAAGACCCAGCTTGCAGCCTACTTGTCTTGGAAGCTTCACCGGGTTCTGAAAGGGCTTTAAAAACCTCCGCGTTTCCTTCATCAAATAACCTCAACAAAGCCTCTATAAATCTCTTGTCGCTTTCTCCTTCGACCCAAATAATGTATCGTGCAAAGAATATCTCTCTTACTTCTGCTCCACCTATGAAGTGAAGATCTCTGACACTGTAACGTGACCTAACGCGTCTTATCTGGCAGTAACCAGATGGAAGAACTTGAAATCTCCAAATCAAGGCGATTCTTTCCACTTCTACCATTTCCGGCGAATGTGTTGTGGCAATGATACATTTTCTCCTTCTTCTTGACTCTCGCATGAGAATTGTTCTCAAGCGACGAGTTTGTAATGGATGCATTCCTCTTGCAACCTCATCGAAGATGACAGTACGACTCAAGGGCTGCACGACCAATGCGGATACAACAAGTGCGGAAAACGTACCCTCTGACAATCTCTGAATTGACCTGTTAGTTGCTGTATCCAAAATATGTAGCGGGATATCTCCATCAAGATCCAACTCAAAAGCAAGACTGTGGTCTCCTGTGATTTCGTGAAACAAACTCAGAGCTTCAGGAATACTTTCTTGGGGTAAACTTTTTAGGAGATTGATTATAATAAGATTCTTGACGTCTCTATACTTTAGTGAATCCCAGCTAACAAGGTGTGTGAGCCTCTTTTGCACATTGCCCTCACCAGAGTCCATGGTGTCAGTAACGTTTGTTGGTGTACCAAGTTTTACTTTTCGAAGGAATGTCTTATCTGGACACCAATCCACAAGGTCAACACCTGCAGGTAAAGGATCATGAACTGATATTGTTACCTCACCATTGTTTTTAATGATCACTAACACTTCATCTTCAGACACAACATAAAGGAACTGGCATCGGCTAGCATCACAAGGATCAAAGCTTCTTCTTCCAGAAAAAACATGAACTGAGGCTGTAATGGAACCAAATTTCTCTCTCAAAAGGTCAGCAAGCTGCATGGGGAATTTCAGGATGTCATCAGAAAACCAGGAAAATAATCCTGAAACCCAAGGCACTTTACCCAGAAGTAGATGGGTTGAATTCCATGAAGAACTTTCAAGATATCGTAAAAGGTCTTGTCCATTTTGAAAATAGAACTCACACACAGCTTTAGAGTGTGTGGCGTCATCTCCTATTATCTCAAAATCCTCTTCATTGTCAACAAAATCGCTTGCTGCCTTCACTAAAGCTACAAAGCTACTCTTGCCACTTGCATTCTCTCCAACAAGCGTATGAAAACTACCATTGTGGGCTCCATCTAAATCCAGTTCTTGTCGGCCCTTGAAGAAAATCAGATTCTCAACCACAACACGGCGCAGCATGACTCTCTTTTAGAAACTGATCATGCCCGGTTTTTCTTTCCAGTGAACTGTTAAGAAGCAAAAAGAAAGGCACCCATTTATGAAACATGCAATCAATGTTTTAGGCAAGGAAGACGAAACTTAGTTTCAAGAAAAAAATGCAAATAAAACTCATTTTCCCAAGAAAGGTTTTGGAAGTACCCCCGTATTGAAAGTGAGAGTTTTTGAACAAAGTAATAGCCTATCGACGATTTAAACTGCCAACTCAGTTACATGTTGTATGTAATGAATTTGACCAGTTTTTCTTTTCCTGTGAAATAACTGTAGCCTGTGCCAAGCCACCGCCCCCCACAGGAAAAAAAAGGGGGGGCTTTGCCCACTTTTTGCTGAGGGGTGGCTGTACACACACGTAATTGGAATTCTTGGGGGAGGAAAATAAGGAATAAGCCATTCTTGGAATTACCAATGCACCAACGTCATCATATCATATGACAGCCAAATCTAAAAGTTGCTTATAATTCATTCAAAATATTTTCAACTTAAAAACATGTTTACCTAAATGATCTATGTTAATCGCATTGGATATAATAAAAACTGAGAAACACTGTTAGCGTATTTACTACGAACAAAACTCTCGTGCAATGCTGCAGAAATCACTGCTACAAGGTCACTGAATGCACAGCTTTTCTTTGTGTGTCATGCAACAAACAAAGCGTTTTATAAAAAAATCCCACCTACTAAGATTACTACCGGTACATTCCATACCAGGGGCATACATGCGATATTCATGACCATTTCACTAACATTCATTATCACTCACATGAAATCGAGGCTACGGTTCAAATTCCCCAGCCCCTGGAAGACTCTGATAATCAAATTCCCTCCTCCCCGGGATGGCAATTGTGTAAAATGCCCGGGGGGGGGGGGGGGAATTTTGAAGGTGGAGGTTCCGTTTTCCCGGAAACAAAAATAGGAAGAAATAAAAACCCCCTTGGCGGCTTATGGGCCTCGCTGCTTCGGCAAGCAAAATTTTCAGTTTTTTAAAAAAGGAAACACAATTTTGTAAGAAATCTGAAAGAGCTAAAATTAAATCAGTTTAAATCCACAAAATTTTTTTTTTTTTTTTATCGCGACGGGCACCCCCCAATACCACCCCTCTTCCCCCCCCGCCCCCCTTCCGATCTGGCCCCGGTTCAAATTCCCCCCCCCCCGGAAAACTCTTAAAATCAAATCCCCCCCCCCCCGGGGTGGCAATTTGTGAAAATGCCCGGGGGGGGGGGGGGGGAATGTTGAATGTTGAAGCTTCGATTTGACCGATACATAAATACGAAGAAATAATAACACCGCTTGCAGCTTATGAGTCTCGCTGCTTACGCAAGCAAAATTATCAAGTTATTCAGAAACGGAACACTATCTTTGAATGAATAGTGAAAGGCTTATACTTAATCAAGTTCAATCGACAAAATATTTCAAATTTGATAGGGCATTATATCGACTGATCGATTGGGTTTTCGATGATCGATCTCGATCGATTTGTTACGTTATGAAGTACGTCGTTCCTCTCCTTATTCAGAGAAACTGAATGATGTATTTACTCCCAAGTCACCAACAATATACAATTCTCTGCAGATTAGACTGATTTCCCTCTTTTTGGACAACCAGCACGGCTCTGCAGAGCAAATCCCTGTCTCGTTCGTGTATTATAATAACATGGCAGTAGCACTAACCTAACTATTACCTTGAAAAGGGAAAGTTCCACCGATATAGCTCAAGGATCTCAAACAGATCAATTGAAACGTTCTACGGCTTAGCTTGCCGGCCTTCGATCCGCGTTAACACGAAAGGGCAAACACCTTAGCAGCCACGCTTTTAGTTCAGGTGTCCCATCACGCAACGTTCTCTTTTGGAAACGAACATTGCGTGACCAGAAAAATCCATCATCTGGAATTACAAAGAGGGACTTTTTTTTCATCTTAAAATATCCAAACGTTTTTAAAAGATCAAATCTTGATGTGGGATACTAGATATTTAATCACCTAGTCGTTCGCGTGTGAAGAGACTTCCGGGGAGAAGGGTTTGAAGATAAAAGTTGGAAGGGGGAAGATGCCCTGTCTTCTCGGGCTTTCTCGACTCCTATTCGCCCTATCCTCTATCAGATAAAATAGATTTTGAACAATAAGTAAAAACAATTAATTTCAATACAATGGGATAAAAATAGTACCATCTAATAAAGGGTGATCTGGAATCACTCAAATAGCAAAAAGGTAAAATATACATAAAAAGGCAATTACATCATTTCCATAATATATTCTACATTTGCTCACCGGTGAGGTTGGTCAAATGTTATCAAGATTTAGCTTTTTAAAGTCAAGTATGGTGACTGAGACCTGCCAATCAAAGCATCCTTAATTCGGGGGGAATTATTTATTTATTTTTTATTTCTGAACAATTTTTGTTTCATTTTATTTGTAACTGTTTTAGAATGTTTATCTGGAAGTAAAACCAATTAAAAAAATAATCATTAATTCAAATCAAATCAATATAAAATATTCGACCCAACCGAGGAATGTCACTGCTAGCATGGATTGCTGGACTATCACATGTTTGTGTCTAACTGAAAAAAGGTTAGGGTAAAGATGGCCAAGTCAAACAACAAAGTTTCTCTTCCCACCAGGCTGAATGTCAAATTAAATACAAAAATGATTTTAGAAAAACGCATGTCAGGAAAGTAACAAAAAAAAAAACAAAAAAATAGTCGAAAATAGTTTCTTTTTTTAAATTGAAATGGATTGTTTTAATTGAAATGAGATGATTATAATTCAAATAATTTTTTTCAATGAATTTTTTTCTAATCAAAACTAAGTTTTTTTTAAACAAAAGGGATTGTAAATAGTGTTTTGATGGAATGTTTTTTTTTTAGGTAAATTGATTGTAAATAGGAAAAGCATTGTTATCAATAAAATATGTTCCATATTATTAAATTTGACAAGGATGTTTTATTTGTGCATGTATAATTTTTCTACTGATATATTATATTTGCCTTACAGTCTTTGCACATGAGGGTTAACATTGGCTTCTACAGAATACTTTAAACATGACCCACAAGACTACACGAAATTATACTGTCTCAGTGATTTTGCTACCTCTGAGTCCTGTGTCACTGATGCATAAAAATCCACAAAGACGCAGTAATATTCATGAGATGCGTCCCATAGGATGCAAAGAATGATTGATTTTGGTAGAATATCCTGTTCATGTGATTTCTTTGGCTGCTGTTTAAAGATACACATTTATTTCAGTCTTTTTTGTGCTTTAAATATATAGAAGGACTATATTTAATTTCAGTAAACTGTAATAAAGAGTTTTGGCATCTGTCTCCAGATTAACTGTTTGGTTACATAAAAGCCCAAGCATTTTCAATATTTAGGACTCCTCATGTTTTTGAACTGGACTCATTGGTTATGGACTGGCACTCATGATTTTTCATAAGATGAGCCCACCAGAACTATTTGCAACAAAATCACTGCTGTCTTCTACAAAATGAACATAATTTCGTCCTTCAAATTTTTCACAAATGTCACGCATGCTGACATGAACTGCAGTTGTCATTTTGTCAGTAAAAAGTCAGAGAAATTCATTTAGCCCATTTACACTTCACCTGTGACATCTGCCTTTCCTTGGATCACGTATATACTTGCATTAATAGTCTAATTTATCTTGTAAAACTTATTTTGAAAATGCAACTTTGACTTAACATTGATAAACGCCACTAAGAGAATTGTCAAACATACATTATAAATATCAGAGGGCTGGCAAGAAATATCACAATAAAACAAGCTAGGCATAGACAACCAAATTCAGTTTCAGTGTTTGTAAACAATCTACTGAACACTGTTTTATGGTATTTAGCTTGTTTATTACCTTGAAATAGCTTCAAGTTCTCTAAGTTACACAGTTCATACCATAAAGAGTAAACAGCACTCAGGTGCTAAGGATCTCAACTCAATTATTTACAGAGTTCCAGCCACGCAGGAGATACTCTAACTAATATTTTATTTTATTAGTCATGTATTTTGTATTGTGAGTTTTCCTCAATTAAACATTCTTCTTGTCAGAGGCACTGTATGGCGGTGGTGCATACGGTGGAGGAGGCTGTGGAAAATAATAACCAACAAAAAAATAAATTTCCATAAGTCAAATAATAACTGTTTACTACACTACAGTATTTTCTATAAGAAAGTTTGATAAGAATTCTCATGCCAGGAATGGCAAAAATACTTTAGAATATCCTAAGAACATGGCTCACATTATGAAAAAAGTATGCAGGGATGAAAGAATATGTTTTGGAAGAAAAAAATCAGGATCATGTATAGGACTTGACAAGTTATGTATACACCTATTTCAATTAAGGTTGCTTCGGCGAAGAATGATTCATGATGCATGATCCATGTTTCATAGCCTGCAGTGCATTGTGGTAGATCGCTTTGTAGGCGGCCGGGGAAGTTTAACTTCGTGTACCAGTGTGCGCAGTAACCCGCAAAATGGAGACAATGAACATCTGTCTCAAAATCCTAACGGAAAATAAGAAAGCTGTGAAAGAAAGTTTTCAGTTAAAACAAATTCCAAAATTTGCAAGTGCCGTTGAGCTAAAGAATTATATTGTAAGCGAGAAAGTCAAAGCTGCCAACGTGGAAAGCCTGGAAATAGGTTACTACGGCCCTCCGAGAGGTACTCGCTTTGCCATTATTGATGAAACTACCCTGGCTGAGGCGTATTCCACCGAAAAGCAAGAGTGGATAGTGATATGGGTATGGACCCCACCAGATCGAGTGGCCAACAAACGTCAAAGTCAAAGTTCCATGGCAGTCGCCAGCAGCAACGCTAAAAGATTGCGCCTATCAAGTAGGTGTTAAGAACCTATTTTCCTTTAAACTCCGTTTGCATTGCTAGTTTTTGTTCGTTGGTTTTCCGTTTATCTGCATGCCTTTTAAATTTTAAGGTGAACAGCACGATGGGGAGGA